AAACGAGTGGTTCCGAGTTCGATCCCCACCACGTTCCTGGTAGTACCGCGCTCAACTCGTTTCTCCGCGCAGTGGCCTTGTTCGTCAAGGTTCGTGTTTTGGAGTTATAGAGTTGAGAGAGGGTTATAACCACAAATAAGTAGTCTCCTCGTCTGTAGTGGCCTTCTCGGCTTTGAGCAGGTGAATTAAAATTAAAAAAAAAAAAAAAAATAGGCAAATATAGATGTTGCGCGTGTAAAGAAAGTTAAAAATGGAATTGTCCATATATATATATATATATATATATATATATATATATATATATATATATATATATATATATATATATATATATATATATATATATATATATGTATATATATATATATATATATATATATATATATATATATATATATATGGACAATTCCGCGAGAGTGGCGGTCGTAACATTTGACACTCTGTAAGTTAGTAAAAACGGAAATCACTTGAAACTTTCTAGAAATGTGAAAAACTATCATATAACTTTGTATGTAAAAGTTACAGCAATAAAGTCTTCAACTTTTTTCAAAATTTAACTCCAAGTAGCGTGACGGTCGTAACAATTACTTTTTACCACTTCTGAACAAAACAACTTTGTCAGACTTAATGCTGCGAACGGATTGGTGAAAAAAAAAATCCTTTGGTGTGTGTATTTAGTACATATTCATATTATCATATGCAGAGTTTCATAGTTTTTACTTGAAGTTTTACCATAGTCATAAAATCTGTTATTATGACTATGGTTTCACAAGAATTTTCGTGTTATTTTTTTGTCGTAACGGTCGTAACGAAGAATCCAATGCTTTAAAACAACAAATATAGCGACACAATCAATGATGTATGATAAAAAGTATAAATAATTATTTTCAACCATGTATATTATGTTAAAAAAAATGCAATATAATATTATCAAAGTTTTCAATTATGGATATACGGTACGATTTTTAAAACTACACGACAAGGCTGTAAACAAACGTCAAAACACGTTTGTAAAACCCTTACAACTTTTTGGTATGATAAAATGATTTTTTTTAATTTCCTAAATTTTTAATTTTTAAATTTAATTTTTTAAAAAAATAACTTTTTTGCTTAAATGTATTTTAAAATAGTTAAAAAAAAGAGTCTTGGAGGTTAGCATGTGTTTTCATAACTTATTTGGTTTTTTTTTTCCTTTTTCATCAAAAATGTTACCTTTCAGAAGCAGGTAACATTTTCGATGAAAAAAGAGCTTGTTTGTTGCCCAAAACTGGATAGCAACTCTTTTTGCACCACAATATTCCTAAACTTTCAGAAATGTTTACGTAAGTGATTACTGCAAATAAAATTAGACAAAATTACTGATATGCGGTCTAAAATAATTTTATTTTATCGCTTGTTGCGCTTTCTTATGGAGACTTGCTTAAAATGGTGACTTTTTAATATAAACAAAGAATATTTATTGGCTTTAGTACATACATCGACTATCTTATAGCCTGCCGCTACTTCCATTATCTTATAGCCTGCTGCTACAAGAGAGTGTTGCTACATCGACTATCTTATAGCCTGCTTCTACATGGAAGTGCTGCTTCATTGACTGAGGATTTCGCATAGGGCAGCAATCTTTTTTCTTTTATTATTTCAAATAAAATTTCTAATTTTCACAAACGTGAGCGCAACAAGCGAAAAAATAAAACTATTTTAGAGCAATAAAATGTAGCTTTACAAGTACATTGTATTTGTTAAGAATTTTGTATTTTTTACCTAGGTTTACCCATAGTTCATTATTGCCCTGATTTTTTTTATTTAAACATGTCTTAAATAAATAACATTACACATGTCTTAAATAAATAAAGTAAAAAATAATTCCGGCGAAAACCGGAATAACCTGAAAGTTGCAAATTCCGGCGCATCCCTCAATTTATAAATTAAAATAAATTGAGGATAAATTTTATTCGTAACGCTTTGCGCAGTATTCTGCAATTTAGAACGTGTATAATTTATGGAACATATTGTAAAAGTATTTCTAGCTTCGGGAATTAATGTTAATATTATTATTATTGCTATTATTATTATTGTTATTATTATTATTATTATTATTATTATTATTATTATTATTATTATTACTGCTATTATTATTACTATTATTATTATTGCTATTATTATGATTATTATTATTAACTCCTTATATAAATAAATCAATATTAGGTATTTATGAAAATTTACAAAAACTGAAAAGATTTTATTAATCGCGATGATTTTGGGTGCAGAAGTTGCAGCATATGTGAAATCTTAAGATTTCGCATACTTTTTCTGGCGCGGGATCTAAAGGGTTACCATTGTGGCCATGACCAAATAGTTTAAAGTCGGATTGATTTATTATGAGTTGCAGATTTTTTAAAATTAAATTGCAGATTTTTTTAAAATTAAATTGCAGATTTTATGCTGCGACTAAGATCTTAACTATATTTTATGCGGCGATTTTCATCTTTTTTGTTTATTAGTGAAATTTAGCGTTGCGTAATTTATAGAAGATCCCTTAGACATTCAAAATTCAAAAGTATTTCCATATTTAGTTCCAAAAATTCTTAAAGATCTTTGATAAATGTTAAATAAATTTTCTAATAAATCAATCCGACTTTAAACTATTTGGTCATGGCCACAATGGTAACCCTTTAGATCCTGCGACAGAAAAAATTTCCAGATAAACGAACAAAAAAAACACAATAAAAAAACGTTTTGTTTAACTGAACAAAACGTTGTTTAACTAAACAAAAAGTTGTTTAACTAAACAAAATGTTGTTTAACTAAACAATAAGTTGTTTAACTAATCAAAAAGTTGTTTAACTAAATAAAAAGGTTTTTAACTAAAGAAAAAATTCTTTAACTACATAAAAACTTTTTCAACTAAACAAAAAAATCTTCAAACGTTTCTGCAACTGGCTTGGCTAATTGAAAAATTCTTAATTGTTTTATAAACATTAATTAATTGTTTCATAATTAATTCGAATTACATAATGTAATTCATTTTTAAAAAATAGTATTTTTAAAAAATAGCAAAAATAGCTTTGTTTAGTTGATGTAATTTACATTAACTTTTTTTTTAAATGCTATTTTTTATTTAACTATTTTTTATGTTTATTTTTGCACTATGCGATAATTTAAAAGAATTTTGAATAAAATATTTTCATAAAAATCATAAAAATAAAAAAAATGCTAAAGTGGGCAAAATTACATAAAAAATGGGCCATCAATGACTATAAACGTGGACCCACTTGTAAAAATTTTAAATCTTTGGTTTCAAGCCGTGGCGTAATAGATCTGTCTCAGAACCCAGTGGTCTGAGGTTCGACGCCGGCTCTAGTTAAATGCTCTCCCAGGGTGCCTCGTGATAAGACCGTAAGGACTTCTGGGAGTACCTAAATAAACTAAAATATAAAAAATGACTTAAATTCAAAATATATTTTTCAAAAAATTGTATAAGGTATTTGACTAGTCAAAGTAGTCTCGAAGTCAGTCGACTGACTTCGAGAACAAAATATTAAATAGAATAATTTATTCTCCCCAATCACAAGATCTATATATATATTGGCGCAGGAACAGAGGGGGAGAGGGGGCGTTAGCCCCCAATTAAAACAATGGGGGGCCAGACACCCCACCCCCATTTGCTAAACAGTTTTAAAAACCTTTTATGATAACAACAGAGGGAATATCATTTTCAAGTCTGCAATGACTCAATCACAATTAAACATCATTATGGAAAAGTATATTCATAAAACTGTTTAAAATACTATCGCATACTAACTTTTTTTTAAATGAATGTGTGCTGGCAAAAGATGACTAATCACGCGAAAAAGATGATTAATCATGTTGCGTGTGATAAATAATTGAATAAATAGATCATTTTCATCTATTTTGCTGTATCATTCAAAATTGAAGAACTATATATATACATATATATATATATATATATATATATATATATATATATATATATATATATATATATATATATATATATATATATATATATATATATATATATATATATATATATATATATATATATATATATATATATATATATATATATATATATATATATATATATATATATATATATATATATATATATATATATATATATTGATTGTGTACTTAAGTACACAATCAATATATATAGATATATATTGATTGTGTACTTAATATATATAGATATATATTGATTGTATATTTTTAAATAATTATTTCCTAATATCAGACGTTTTTAATATATTTTCGAGTAATTTCGAGTGACTTTTTTTAAAAAACCGGAAAATAATAGTAAAAATAAGACAATCAGAAACTTGCTTGAATACATAATACTAATAAAACATATTACACTCGATTCAATCAAATAAATTACAGCAATTCAAATATAATGTAAAAAAGCAACTCGAAAAAAAAATTACTCGAAAACTCGAAAAACTTCGATTATTATTATATTAAAAAAAACTTTTTTAAATGTAAATTCCCGTAAATAAAACAATCAATGGTCAAAAGTTAATAGCAAAAAACATCATCATCATCATCATCATCGTCATCAGTATATGGTTCTCTGTTCGTTATTGCAACAAGGTCATCGGCTCACAGGATTTTAGATTATTGCCGTGCCGCTCAGTATTTTCTAATTTTTTTTTCAGTATTATCAATAAGAAAGATCTAAACTTTTTAGATGTTATTTTTGAAAAAAAATTTTGAGCAAAAACTTTAAATATAAGAGCGGTTCTAAAAAATGCGTTGCATTATAAAAAAAAAAGAGGGTTTATGCATGGGGATCAAAAAATGACATTCGGGTATGTTTTTTTTATTCATTTTCTTCAAATCAAGCTATAAACTAAATAAATCCACATTTCTAAATTTTGATATTTTTCATATCATCGTGGCGTTTTTAAGTTTCTGAGTTCAAGTAAACTTTATATAATATATTAGTTAACATAAGTTATTTTATATTATATTATAAGTTCGAGCACAAAAATTGTATACGAGCGTTTGGATAAAGTTGAATTGCGTATCAATGAAAATAGTAAGCAAATAAAATTGATAGAAAAAGAAATTGAAGACATTAAAGTGAGTTTAAACTTTCATGACCAACTCATTGAAGAAAAAAGTCGAAGCGTCATTACTTCACAGGATAAATGTAATACAATAAACGTTACCCAAAACAATGAGTCTGCATTTTCTAAAATTACCAACAAATTAAGAGAGATAGAGGATCGATCCCGGCGGAATAATCTGAGAATCGACGGAATTAAAGAAAGCGAAGGTGAAAGTTGGAATGACAATGAAACAAAGGTAAAAAACATTTTTGAAAATTATTTAGGTCTAAAAGATATTAAAATTGAAAGGGCACATAGAACTGGTCATAAGGATTCACTTAGACCAATAACTATAATCATTAAGCTTCTAGACTTTAAAGATAAAGTAAATATTTTAAAAAAAGGAAAAAATATCTATATAAATGAAGATTTCTGCGCTGAGACATTGCAAATTAGGAAGGTGCTGAGAGAACTAATGAAAATGGAACGAGCGGCAGGAAAATTTGCAAGTATTTCATACGATAAACTTATCATACGCGATTGGGCTGCAAAGAAAAGTATAAATGTATAATCCTAATATTTTAATATCTTATTTTCATGATTAGTATATTTTACTTTTTTAAAAATGGATGATAATCTTCGACTTAATTCTAATACTGAGTGTAATGATGACTATTTCATTCAAAAAAATTTTGAAAGTGAGTATTATTCAGTATTTGAATCTACTCAGTTTCTTAGTAAAATAAAAAATAAAAAAAGTTTTTTAATTTTCAATCTAAACATTCGTATTAATAAAAATTTAAAACACAAGTATTAATAAAAATTTTGATAATCTAAAATTCTTATTGCATGATCTAAATCACGATTTTAAAATAATTAGTGTCACGGAAACGTGGTTGAAAAGTAATGAAATAAATTCTAATTGTGAGCTAAGTAATTACGTGTCAATTCACCAACCGCGTCAAACCCACGTTGGTGGTGGTTTAAGTATCTATGTTCACAAATCTATAAACTTTATTTTACGCAATGATCTCATTGTTAACGAAATAGATTGCGAGTCGTTATGCATTAAAATAAATAATAAGGCAACCAAAAATATTATTATCAATTCTATTTATAGAAAACCAGCTGGTAACTTCAAAAGATTTCAATCTTATTTAAAAAATTTCTTAAGCAAAGTTAACATTACAAAGAAACACGTGTACTTAACTGGTGATTATAATTTGTTAAATCATGCTTCAAATGTAAATGTTCAATGTTTTTTAGATACACTTCTTCAGCACACTATAATTCCCACAATAAATAAGTCAACGAGAATAACTAAGACCACGTCGACATTATTAGATAATATATTCACTAATAATTTTCATGATTGCTTCTTAGAATCAGGTATAATCAAAATCGACATAACTGATCATTACCCAATATTCTTAGTTACAGATAATATAACCCTTAGCCATTCCGTCTCTAAATCAACAATCTTAATACGACAAATCAATGAAAACTCTTTATTATACTTTCGAAATCTTTTATCTGAAAAAACTGATTGGAACCTTATATTACAATCACAAGACGCGAATAATGCGTAAGAACTTTTGAACGCGAATAATGTGTATGAATTTTTGGCGCAGTTTTGTAAACACTATGATTTAGCATTTCCAGTACAAAAAACAGTTGTAAATCCTAATTCACTTCTAAGCCCTTGGATGACCAAAAGTTTATACAAATCATCAAAGAGAAAACAAAGACTTTATGAAAAATATCTAAAACATAAAACATATAAAAATGAAATAAAATACAAAAATTATAAAAACACGTTTGAAAAAGCAAAGAAACATGCAAAAAAATATTATTATGCAAGGTTGTTGGAAAAAACATGCGGAAACACACAAAAGACGTGGAACGTGATTAAGCAGATAATCGGTAAAAATAAATATCCAAAAAATAATTTGCCACAAAAACTATTAGTTAACGGGAAAATGATTTATAATAAAGAAGTCATAGTAAAAAAGCTCAATAAATTTTTTCTTGATATTGGCCCAACTTTACCTGATAAAATTCCAAAAAACACCTCAAACTTTGAATCTTATATCAAATCAATCAATACATCTATGAAAGAAGTAAAATTAAACATAAATGAGTTGCGAAATGCATTCAGCTGTCTAAAAAGTAATAAATGCGCTGGCATAGATAATATTAACGTGAATGTTGTTAAAGCAGTGTTTGATATTATTGAACCGTCACTGTTTTACATTTTTAACCTTTCACTAGAATCCGGTATTGTACCGGATAAAATTAAAAATTGCTAAGATCATACCTATTTTTAAATCTGGCGATGACACGACTATGTCTAATTATAGACCTATTTCTGTCTTACCATGTTTCTCAAAATTGTTAGAACGAATTATGTATGATAGACTTAATACTTATTTAACTGAGAACAATATAATGTATAACAAACAATTTGAGTTCAAAAAGAATCATTCAACTGATCATGCGGTAGTCGATCTAATAAATTATATATCCAATGGGTTCAATAATGATTGCTATACATTAGGAGTTTTTATTGATTTGTCAAAAGCATTAGACAGTGTAAACCACGATATTCTTTTAAAAAAACTAGAACTGTATGGAATACTTAATAATAACTTACTATGGTTTAAAAGTTACCTGTCAAACAGAAAACAATGCATATTATATACAGCAAATGAAACTGAAAATCATATTATAACTTGTGGTGTTCCCCAGGGATCAATCCTAGGGCCGCTCTTATTCCTACTCTATATTAATGATTTATACTTAGCATCCAAAGTTTTAAATGCTATTTTGTTTGCTGGTGATTCGAATTTTTTTTACTCACACAATAATATAAAAGAACTGTTTAGAATATCTAACGAAGAATTATTAAAAATAAATGACTGGATTACAAATAATAAACTTTCATTAAATGGTGAGAAAACTAAATTTATCTTGTTCCACAAACCTCGTAGGGGAGATAACCTTTCTCTAAAATTACCCAATCTCCTTATGAATAAAAAATTATTAAAAGAGAGTCAACTGTTAACTTTCTAGGAGTGATTATAGATGAAAATTTATCATGGAAATATCATATTAAATCTATTGAAAACAAAATCTCCAAAAATATTTGAATGTTATATAAAATCAAACCATTTCTTAATATTGAGTCTTTAAAAATTATATATTTTTCATTTATTCATAGTTATCTTTCTTATTGCATTATTGCATGGGGAAGTACTAATTATGGGAAACTTAAAAAAATCTATAGCAAACAAAAACATGCATGTAGGATTATATTTGGCTTTAACAGAACTGTTAATGGTGAATCTCTTCTAAGCGAACTTAATGCACTTAATGTTTATAAAATTAATATATACCAAGTTATGCTTCTAATGTTTAAATCAAAACATTGTTTGTCTCCTAATATATTTCACTCCTACTTCACTGAAATTACTCATAAATACCCCACAAAATTTTCAGTTGATATGTTTGTTATTCCAAGATCTTATTTAAAACTCAGCTCATTTCAAATTCAATACCGTGGACCATTTATATGGAAAAGTTTTTTGAAAAATATTATTAAAAATAAAACTCTTCTAAACTTCTCCCTAGAACAATTCAAAAAAAGAGTCTAAACGTTTTCTATTAGGAAAAAACTTCGATTTTAAAAATTTCTTTTAAAAGTAGTACCTAAAATAATTAAACTGAAAAAGTCATCGCGACTCTCTTATTTTTGTCTTGATTTATTTCTTATCTATAAATAATATATATATATATATATATATATATATATATATATATATATATATATATATATATATATATATATATATATATATATATATATATATATATATATATATATATATATATATATATATATATATATATATATATATATATATATATATATATATATATATATATATATATATATATAACTAAAAAAAAATGTTTATTTATATATCTTATTATACGATTTACTACTTGTAATATATTGTGTTGTATTTTGTAATTTTTAACTTGTTACATAAACTGAAGGCAACAATCTAAACGGGACTTGGCGATAAGACAATATACGTCTTCTTCTTGCTCCAGCCATATATTATATACGTACGATCTTTCTTATTGTAAATTTTATCAAACGGCAAAAAAAAAAAAAAAAAAAAAAAAAAAAAAACAAATCTCGTACTTGGGTTTTCAAAAAAAAAAACGTTTAACAAAATTTTTTTTTTTACGTTTTTAAGAAAATTTTTTCTGCTGGATATAATATTTACTAAATCGAATGTCTAAAAAGTATAAACTTTGCTTTTATAACGAAAAAGATTTTTTGGAAATTTGGTTTTAACTGTGAGGTGTTGCATTACCGAAACTACTCAGGTTGCATTATCGAACTTTCTGGTTTTCGCTTATAAATGAATTTGAAAGGTCTATTTTGCAATCATTTTTAAGTTACTATTTTAAGATAAAACTTATTTACTCTTTTTTATCCAAAAAATAAAATTGATGCAAATAATAATTGTAAAAAAAAAGAGGCGTGTTATAGGACTTTCAGGGTAAAGAAAGGGACAATCAATTAAAACAGGGGAAATTTTTTATTACAGAATATAAAACTATATATTGAACGTTTATGTAAATAAATTTTAAATAAATAAGTAAAGCTTTTAATAAAACGTTTATAGTTAACAAATGCGCTCATTTTGAATACACAAATAACACTATTTTTGATTATTTTAAAATAAAAACTTTACAACAATCTTCTGACATCTTTCTTTAAATCAAAGTAATAAGTTTTTCAAGTATTTTTAAACTAATTTTGACTTTATGAAAAAAATACACACAGCAAATTGTTGTTTTAAACAATCTTCCAACAAAAATTTTACAGCGGAATTTTAGTAGACTTTTATAGGCATTTTGAGAGTTTCCCACTTTTTTTCCACTGTGAAAAGGCTCATTGGTTACATAGTGGACCACAATTGGCAGGCGTCATCATTGCTAGCCAACAACTAGCTTTTATATTACATGTTGAAGAGTTATTGGCTAGCCACTTTTAGCGAATACCTTAAGAAACCTATGAGCAAAACTCTAATTAACTGCTCAAAATGCTTATATAGGTCCTTTGCAAACCCACTATAAAATAATTTCTGGGTTAATAAAATTATAATTGGGTATCATTTTCACAGTTTTTTATAAAAACACAGTTTTTTATAGTTTGTTCATATATAAAAGTTTAAAAGTGTTTCATTAAGTTCATAGCCTTAACCAGAGAGACTGATATTATCCTATTTAGTAAAGTAGTGGGTTTTGATCAGTGTTTTATTATTTTTTATAAAAAAATTGTATATACCAATTAAAATAAAATCATGATTATTATCATTAAGTACATATCTTATTTAAGTTAATTGATCATAAGTTTGAGAATCATTGTTTTTTGCATAGATGCTTTAAATGTAAAGGAAAATTACCATTTTAATGTGGCCTTGTCGACGACACCCTCTAACACAAATTTTTGAAAACTTTACAGAACTTTGCAGAACTTCTTAGCCTAGCAAA